TATTAGCTTCTTGAAGGCAGAGGCGTGTGTGTGTTTCGCGTGGTGTTTTCTACTTATCGTTCGGTCTCTTGCCTAAAAGACGCTTGAGTGCCGCGATTCGTGTCTCGAAGGGCCTTATATAAGCTCGTTTCCCCTATTGGTGTTCTTTAATAGCGCAGGCTTGTAGTTACTAGGGTGAGTCAGTATGATATGCCCAGCATTTCGTACGTAACAGTAGTATTAAAAAAATGTATTTTGATGTAGAGGGAGAAAAAGGTTCGTTAATATTATTTATAAATTTCAATAAAACATAAATAAAAAGAAAATAAACTAGAATGATAAATCACGTTAAAAAAAAAATTTGCCGACAGTTGGAATCGATCCTCCGATAGCAAAACAAGACTAGTGGTAGCATAAGCCATTTCTACCTTAGCTATCGAAACTTCGAGGGTAGACGATCTTCAAGTCACATTTGTTCATCGATAACCTCCGGGACTTATCCTACAGTTCATAACAATTATGATGAGGAAAAATCATTAACCAGTGGTTATAGCTCAACTGCCATCCTTAAAAAAATTAGCCGAACATTTTTTCAAAATAATACTAGATTTCAAATTAAGTATTAACGTACGGAAAAAAAAAAGAAATTTTGATATTAAATTCTGTGCATATAATTATGAGCATTTAGTTTCACGATTTACTCTAATGTAAGATCGATAGATAACATTCAAGCAAGAGCGAGAGAGCAAGAGTAAGTTAAATATATATAGCATATACTTACTCGGTTGCAATCAAAAGAGAAAAACTCATGTCGTCGCTTGCTTTGGCTGTGCGCTCAGATATATAGCTATAGTCAACATTTCCACTCCTCTCCTCGTAGGCACACATTTGGTATACCCCATAGAGATATTATAGATAGAGTAGACAAGCCACCGATTCTTCTGTAAGTGGAAACGTTAACACGATAAAAAGAGATGCAACATTGAGCTACCTTTCTATCTCTCTCTTTGGTCGCTACTGATTGCCTATGCCTACATATACGTAAAACATCTGTAGCCAATCAGCAGCGAGCACAGAGAGAGATAGAAAGGTAGCTCAATGTTGCATCTCTTTTTATCGTGTTAACGCTTCCACTCACAGGCTTGCCTACTCTATCTATTATATCTCTATGGTTATACCCCTCCCGAATAGAAATGTGCCGTAGCTTGCCTGACTGCCTGTGCAGGTCCTGCACAGGCAAGATAGGCACTTCATGCATATGTGAGTTCAGGCTGTGCACAGTTCCTGAACAGGTCCGGTGCTCTTGCCTGAACTGACATCAACTGTCTGCTACTACAGTATTTAGTCTTAACCTTTTTATCAATTAATCTAAAATGGAGCAAAACCATTATTCTCGACGAAATACGCGAAATAAATATAGAATGTCAATTACTCGTAAAAGAAAAATTTTGGAAAAAAGAAAACCATACAGATTTAATGGAAATAATGAAAAAAAAGCTTAACTTACAGATAATATTAGTGAAAACTTAGCTGTACAGTTTGGTAAGCAAGAAATTTAGAGCGATATTTGGCAAGAAATTTTTGAAGAATTAAACACAACTAATGACAGTGTAAGAAAAAAAAAAAAAACAAACAAACAAGTGTCAATATTGATGAAGTTCGTGATTTGTATGCACAATTTCGGAAATGGAAAAGAGTGTTTTATTGCAAATAGACACATGGAGAAACTTTTATAAATATTGCAATATCACATTCCCAGCTTACCTGTATCCCATAAAACTTTACTGAAATTAACTTTTGTGTTTAAAAACATTTTTTTATGTAACATAACCTTACTATTTAATTGTGTAAAAGTCAGTTCAGGACTAGATTATATTTGTCCAGGTTGGCTGTGCAGGAGCCTGAGCAGGTCCTGTGCACATCGTTGGATAAAATTCCATTAATGCCTGAGCAGGTCCTGCACAGGCAGCTCAGGCACCTGTCCAGGACCTGTTCAGTGCCTGAACTCAATTTCTGTTCGGGCTTCTACGTGTCACCAAAATGTGCGCCTACATGCTCATTTCCACGCGAATCCACTTCTCTTCTTTTAGGCGCACGCTCTTCGATACGAGTGAACGAGTCTCGTAGTCTCGAAAAATGTGCGCCTTGGTTCAACAGCTGGCCGCGGCGGGTCGCCCCGATCAGTGGAAAAAGTTGTCTCATGCCGTTAGCATTGGCGTTAGCAATCTCTCTACTCATCTCTGGTTGCAATAGATGTAATATATAAATTGTATGTCACCGTCGCAGAGCTTGAGTTATACATATATTATATTGGCTGAAGAGGTGGAGGGGTATCGAGGTATAGCTATGTGTGTGCTCTCTTCTCCTACCAGCTCCACTCTTAGAGACGACTATAACTTTATACACAGAAGGAGGCTAGCCAATCATCGGAGTGTAAGAGAGAGAAAGCATATCCTGCATCACGGGCCCTCTTCCTCTTTGCTAGCTCGCGGCCGAAGCATTGAGACTTGTGAAGTTGGCGCCCGTAAATATTAAATATTAATATTTTGCACCCATTCAGGGCTTAAACGATTCCTCCTTACTTGCGGATTCATCCTCCACTTGAATTTTTATTTGCGGATCAATAGTTTGCGGGATATTTGCAAAATAAAAAGTCGAAAATGGGCGCGGCGCTGAAGTATAAAAAACTTTGTTTTAAGTGCTAAATTGGGTTAAAATCCAATTCTACCTGTACGATTCGATTCCTCCTCATTTGCGGATTACGGAGATATATAAATTAATGTAATTAAATGTCACAAAGTTTGTAAATGATGAATTTAATTATTGAGTGAGAGAATCTAGTAACTTTTGGTCGAGTGCTCCGTTCCTGGTGTTCGGTACATGTCGCTTACTCCTTACAGCGGGTTCTACAAAATATTTATCGGAATAGAAAACTTTAGTAGGTATTAATCTATTAATTATCAGTTATAAGTTATTCAGCCTTCGGGTCAATACACACACACACACATACATTACATTCTTCAAGCTCAAGGAAAAATTTATTTGTCAATAGGTACAGATTTTTCATCTTAAGAATCTTATATCTGGAATCTATTGTGGCAAATACTGTGGACTGATATTTATTCATTACGCGCGAAATTTTAATATTTGTCGTTATTCAAGGAACAAATAACAACACAACTAAAAAGTAGCAGTACAGCTATAATCATCCCAAGACAAGCCACACCTAAGCACACAAGTAATTATTTTGTTTGTACAAGTTTTAGAAAACGGCTTAAGCATTCAAATTTCGCGCGTAAATGATCAATCAGGCAAATTGAAGATCAAGTTACCGACCAGTGGAAACGGATCAAAATCAAAGTGACACAGGCTGTGTTCGCCTAAGGCTTTGTTTGTTATTAGGTTTGTTAAGGTCACGTGATCATTAATCATAAGTGCGAGGAAGACAGCATGATAACGTCTCACTCGCACTAATCATAAATGATCACGTGACATTAACATACTACAAACAGAGCCTATACAAACACAGCCCCAGTAATAAATTAACAAGTACTTAATTTAAAAAAATGTTTATTTAATGGGTTTACACTAGATTGCATAGTCATCAAAAAATGTGTGTGTGTGTATTGACCCGAAGGCTGAATAACTTATAACTGATAATTAATAGATTAATACCTACTAAAGTTTTCTATTCCGATAAATATTTTGTAGAACCCGCTGTAAGGAGTACGCGACATGTACCGAACAACAGGAACGGAGCACTGGACCAAAAGTCACTAGACAAAAGTTACTAGATTCTCTCACTCAATAATTAAATTCATCATTTACAAACTTTGTGACATTTAATTACATTAATTTATATACCTCCGTAATCCGCAAATGAGGAGGAATCGAATCGTACAGGTAGAATTGGATTTTAACCCAATTTAGCACTTAAAACAAAGTTTTTTATACTTCAGCGCCGCGCCCATTTTCGACTTTTTATTTTGCAAATATCTCGCAAACTATTGATCCGCAAATAAAAATTCAAGTGGAGGATAAATCCGCAAGTAAGGAGGAATCGTTTAAGCC